GCTAACGGGAACCATAGAAGAAGCTGCTTCCTCGAACTTTCGGTGCAACGTGACGTTCTTAACTGCTAAAAATTAAATGAATACGAGTATAAAAACACATTTAGGTACCTACCACGTAAACCATATTCATGATGATGCTTCGTTGTTTCTTCTTTATTTGTATTTTCAGGTAGTAAATTATGTGAAAATAATAATATTATTTTAATTTTGCAGACATGATAATACATATCTCTCAAGCACTCATAGCTCTCAAGCAGGTCATGCAAACATTTGGTCCGACCCGGGAATAGACCCCAATACCTCAGAACAGCAGTCGCATACGCTACTACTGCAAATCCGAGGCAGTCAAGTCTCCCCAATACAGAGATTAATTATAAATTTTTAATGAAATCAAAGTAATAAGAAGAAAACCACAGTACTTACCGTCGTTGCAATGGTTCAGATCCGCGAGCTTTCTCATAATAATATTAATCCTCGAATTCCTTTGATTCATATTAAAATACCTATATTATGACGAGGAAACTGTTTTCTGATTATTATACAGCCAACTTTAAGATAATATTAATTGTCTTAATACAATCACACTTACGCACGATAATCACTTTTATTATCTTGAAATCTTTTGAAAACGGAATTATGATACTCATGCAACGAAGTTTTAAGAGACAGTAATCAAGTAAACAAACATTGGCACGTACGAGTATTTAGGCGAGATGGTGTATAGTGTCATCACTCTATAATATTTGAATCACTATGTTCACTAAGGTAATGTTAGTCGCTGCACTTAAAAGCTTTTGAACGAGAATAAAATGATATTGGCGTTTATAATTTTATCGTTGATTTCTTGCACGAGAATATAAGTGTAAAAGCTATTGCTATTTATTGTTTAATGAAACAATTATATCAATAGTGTCTGGTAATCTTATTCGCGTTAATGTGCGCCTCAGAAAATTGGACGAATAATATTGTAATATTTTATAACTTTGTGAATAACGATAGAAAAATTACGAAAAAAATTGAATGGATGTATTGGGCTCTGTAGACTCCAAATATGACATAACACTAAAACTATTGTAATGTCAGTTGTCATTTTATTCTCCGGGGCCGGCGATATGTTAACAAAAAGTGTTTGTAGAATATACACCTGTTTACGTAACGCCTTATGTTTGCATTTTCGTTAAATAATAAGGTTTATGATAAGATCGTCAGTAGACTCTTTCTTGTTTCTTGAGTATCTTCTTGGTTCACTGATTGCGTTTAAGACGAATGAAACAAAGGACGAACCGTTCATTTCAATTACATCTTAAATACTCTTCGTGGTAATTTCCGATACCGAATGCAACAAGCCGATAGTTGATTTAGGGCTATACATATAGTATAGTGTTTTATAACCTATATTGAAATCTAACCTATCACTACACAATAAAGTCCCCCGTTGCGTTTGTCTGAAAGCGATAAGCTTAAAAGTACCGAACCCGATACGTTTAGGTTTATAATTTTATTTACATGGTTTTGTATAAATTAGCTGAAATATGACGTTCGTTGAAGATCTCGGAAACATGGTCGCTATGTGGTAACCGAGTAGGTTAACACATTGCAAAGTTAAGCAATCCAAGCCTGGTCAGTCTATGGATGGGACCGTTCTTAACACATTAAGACCCCTTCGTGCCTCGGACAGCCGTCGGTACCGGATGCCATACGAACATCTGTGGCAATCTTTACGGGTAGTTAACTACAAGCCCTAAATAGTCCGTCAACAGTCTATCCACAGATTTTAGATATCGCCTAGTCCTACTTGGGTTGTACGTTTATTTTTTTACCGTTTTTGTGTAGTTCATACATTGTTTTATAATTTCCATTACCAAAATTGTAGTCAACTTAACAAACCAAAGTAGATGGTTTATAATATAATAGCAAAAAGAAATAAAAATGTAAAAAAAAACTATGACAGTTAAGTAAGTCAGGTTTGTTAACAAAACATGTTCGTATCATCAGCTATCTAACAAGGTATAATAGTGTAGGATAGTATCAGAATTCATAAAAAAAACTTAGATAAAAGACTGGGAGTATTAAGAATTAGCGTAAAACCCGGTAGCACCTAGTTTAGACCTTAGCTTGTAATTTTTGAACTAACTATTGCTAACTGAACTTTATTATGTGCTTCTGATACCGTTGGATACGAAGGAGGATTATGTTCATATTTTGATTTCTTACGGATACTGCCAAATTTCATTCTTTTCTGAAAATTCTGTTTTTTTTTAAATTTTATTTTGAGGTGAAAAATAATTTTCTCATTCATTTTGTTTTACTGTCCAACAAGGTCGCAAAATCTTTTGCGCACAAGGGCCCCGACATGGTCTAAGACGGCCTCGGATGGCATAAAATCCCAATCACATGTGATCAATCATCTAATTTAATAATCATTTCATCCCACCTGAGCCTGACATATAAAAAAACCACTGCTACTCAATTGCTAGCGCAAGACTCGCGAAAGATCTAAATCTAAAAAAAAAGTCGTCATCAATCATCAACAACCTTTAACGGTCCACTGCTGGACATAGGCCTCTCCTTAGAAAGGAAGTTTTGGCCTACTATCCCACAATGGCTAGACGGGTTGGTATAGGGTTTGTTTCAAGTTTTCCTTCTCTTTGCAGTGCTGTTGCCCTGCGTTTGCTCCCTTAGTCGTCTCTTACGAGACCCATGGGATGAATACGGGTGGTGACACTCCGTATTCTTAACCCGATTTTAAACATTTTTTTATTAATAGAAAGCGGCATTATCAGGAAGTAACATAGGCTATAATTTTTTTCTAAAAAACTTTAGACATGTGCAAAAAAAAAACAGGCTAAGTAAGGTGTAAAAAATAGTCTTAAAAATTTCCTTTTTTCGTGATAAGACGAAATAATGTGCTAATGAATTGTAGGACTAAATAAGATCTACAAAAAAGTTCGCGAGGGGTATATCTATCTATAACAGATAAGCTATAAAAAGCGTTTTTATATTTTTAAAATTATTAAATATCCACTACATACTTTAGATGCATTTTTTCGAGTGATTACATGAATCCTTATGAAATTAAAGTATTTTATCATCGAGATAATTTCAAGTAGATAATTTTTTGTCTTTACATCATTAAAATTTGTCAATTCGCTAAGCAGATTTCATTTAAATACGAATTCAATATTCCAGATCGTCACATCACCATGTCGTGTGTCGCCCTGCCCCCGCGCTCCTTTACTTCCCGCTGCTGTCTAATATTGTGTTCTGCGCATCGAAACGCACGATGTTGCGAGCCTATACCTACCTACTATTAAAAAAAAAATTAAGAAAAAGAAATAAAAATGTGGCGCACTTACAAACCACATTGCTAATTGCTGTCCTGCTACCCCAATTTATCGACAAGTTATATGTTGAAATCTTTATTATTATGTACAGAATATGTAACATATACAGAATAGAACTTAAAGCCATTTAAGGCTGTATTTATAATAGCAATATAATTGAAAACAAAACAACTTTTTTAATTATAATCTCTATTTTTCCAAAAGAGTTTGTGCATCTTCACAGCTTAAGGTTTTTTATGCTAATGATGTGCAACTGCGCCATAGCCAAGAAACAAGTATGGTGTGTTTAGTCCTACACAGATGACTAATCGATCAATAACAAGGATTCACAAACAAGAGAAATATGTGAGTAAATACCCTAAGACCAGAAAATATTATTGAATACACACCAAATTGGGTATGGTTCACATAGCTGCCTTTGTTAAGAACAAGTATATTTTGTGAAATTAAAATTTGTGTGTGCCAAAAAGAAACATTTGGGAATATCTAATTTATTAAATGCTGATGTAATGACTTTTCCCAGTTAGGAATGTGATGCAGTATAGAACAATATACCGTAGTACTTGGTTTCATTTTATGATTTTACTCATTTCTCTTAGACTTAATATGATCAATGTTAGTAAAGAACAGTTAAATCCTTCAAATCAAACAGCATTTCTTATAAAAGTATTATACAAGAACAAGTTAAAACGGTTACATGTTAAGACTAGCTGACCCGTGCAACTTCGTCTGCGTCTCTCAATAGTAATAAATTTTCTCTGTTTTTGAAACATTCTTCATTGGTGCTTCACTCCTATTTGTCTTAGCGTGATGATATATAGCCTTCCTCGATAAATGGTCTATGTAACACTGAAAGAATTTTTCAAATCGGACCAGTAGTTCCTGAGATTAGCGCGTTCAAACAAACAAACTCTTCAGCTTTATAATATTAGTATAGATACGTTTCAATGGTAACAACCTTGTCAATAATAACACTAATGACAAATTCACATTTAACCACAATGTTATAGAAATATAAATATTATATAATGATTCAATATTCTAATAAATTTTAACTTCCTCATACTTCTAAAAGTTAGCAGAGCCACTATTTTCTTTTATTTACTAATGTTTCAGCTACATCTATCCTGAAAAAATTGCATGTAAAATAAATTATTGCACACTAGTACCTAATTAATGTGATAATTAATTATTTTAGTACTAATTAGCTAAAAAATATTTTGTAAAACAGTGCAGAAAACATTGTCACATAGGAACTATGAGTAATATTTCAATGACAAGTTAGCAGCTCTGCCAAGGTTTTATGTTACATACAATCCATTTTGTGACATGCTTGTTAAGATTAAAATTAATAGATTTTTAAATGAACCTCAAATAAACAAAAAGAGTAACATTTAAATAATTAGCGGACCTAGTCAGTAGGGTTGACATGCATAAAGTTTAAAAAAAGTTTTGTAAAGTTTGAGAAAAAAATAGTAGGAGATTGAACTTGTCAATACCTGTATGATAGTTTCTGTTAGAAAATCGAAAACACTGAAAGCGACCTCTGCGAAATATGAACTAACGATGCTATACATCAATCTACAAATTTATGAAATAAGACAGGAAATATAAAAAAATAACTATAAGTAATGCTAGCTAGTAACAAATGCTCACCTGAACATTTTGATTCTGCCCTCGGGAGTTCAAATTTAATGTAACTTCAATCACTAAATTTTCACGAATGATTTGAGTAAGTATATATTATTTCAATTAAATGTTAATGCATGGAAAATACTAAGTATTCAAATTATACACTAGCGCACTAAATATTTGCACTGCCAGAACTGAAAAACACATTACACGGCATTTCTAAGAATATAATAAAAAATATATGTCTTAAAAAACACTACTTGTTCCAGGAGAACCGAAGAGAAGTAAAACATTACACTTCAAACCCTTCTAACCATCTACTACGTAAACAACTTCGAATTATACTAAAAATATTGCTCGTCTTTAGCAACAGGTACACAATACGTCAAAACAACAGAATACGAGACAAGTCGAAACATGTACATATTTGGTTTCTCTGTCTATACTTATAAGATGAAAAGAGATAACAAACCCTTTCGATGAAAGAAGTGATTCACGTGATCTGCAATTTAATAGCCAATCATAGTTGTGTAATTTTGACATCAGGCCATTGTTGCCAACTTAATGGGTTTTAAGGAGGGGGGGAAATGGTGTTGCTCCTAACTCCAAATTACTTGTATGCGACCTTTTTTCTCGTTAAAATAAAAATAATGTTAAAAGATGAATTATGGGAAGAGGGATGCCTTAATTTCTAAAGTTTATTTAATGCATGTTCTTATCATATTATATGTAATATTATAGTATGTTCTAGTTGTCTGTAGTAGTTCTTTTGCTGCCAACTTAGTGGATTTCCCACTAAAACGGGTGGTTTCGACCCCCCCTTTTAGTGACGAAATTTTGCTTTTAGTGGCTAGTGGGTTTTTTAGTGGTTAGTAGTAGTAGTAAGATTGTAAAGGACTTAAAAAATGCTGTTGAAAGAGGAACTGTGAGAACTGTTTGTGTACGCCAACCTCAACCTCACCCTTTGATATAAAAGGAAGGATGGGGATTGGATAGAAGTGCTCAGGAAGATAATGATTATTAATTTTAGACAATGAGATAATGTAGGCTTTGTGCCAGACAGAGAAAAAGTTTTTGGAGTCGAGTCGAGATAACTTCGAGGACGTAATCCATTATGGTAACTGTCAGCCTACGGCTTGCACATTATTGCCTTACAACAGACAGATAGGATGATCTTTTTGATATCTCCAGAAAGCACATGAGAAAATTCAAAGTTGAGAATATAGGGCCTGGGCAGACTAGCGATAGAATTCAGAGCCCCACTCTATATTTAACGATCCGGCAGAGTAGCAGAAGACAAATAAAGATTGATATCATTCAAACCAATGAAACTCGGTCCGTTGTTGTTTACCAATGCGCAACGTGTTAAGGAACTTCCACATACTAGAGAGTTTGCTCTTCAAACTTCAACTTTTGAAGAATTAGTGATAAACAGAGCAATAGAATGAAGTTAAATATTTTTTTTGGCATGTTCAGAATATGCTTTGGTTTGAAGCTGGAAGGAGAATGCTAAAACAAATATGAAATTCCAATAAACGTTGTAAAAAAAAAGGGACCAAATATTTGTATTAATCTGTACCGACAATGATGGTGCTGACAAAAACGATAAGAATCAGTATTAAATTTTACTAATATTAAGGAAACTAGTAATTAATTCACTTGTGGCTTTCTTTCGTAATTGGTAGTAATTACTAAAAAAAATATTTAATCGAAAATTTAGTGCTTATTAGAGTAGGTTGAAAATTTAGTGCCTATTAGAATAGGTTTGTTTTTCGTTAGTGGTTTTCTGGTGGTTTTAGATGTTGAATCTGGTGGAGGGTTTATTTAACTGTTGGCAACACTGAAGCAATTCAGTGGAATGAATCACTCACGAGTAGTGATGAGCAAAATGTATCACTGAGCTGAAAATATAGATACATATCATTCCCCTTTAAAGAGATACTCGTATATCACTCATTTAGCTCACTAGCTCAGTGATCCATTTCAATTGATTATTTTTTCGTCCAGATCATTTAGCTCAGTTTGTATATATCACTCACTTCAAACCTCTCTCGCTCATACAAACCCTTCTTTATTCTCATATTAACCTAAATTTAGTTTTTGGAACTTCATTAAGAACCATTTTTTTTTCATTTTGTTAAGATTACAATCATAATAATTTAATAAAAGGATGTTCTTTTATAAAATAATTAAAATGAATAATTATAAATTTTATACTTTTATGTATATTAGAAATGATACACATAAAATCAATTTTCCTTCATACTTAGCAGGGTTAATTCTCAAATAATAATTAAGTAATGTTAAATTTGATCCTTTCAAAGGAGAGGCCTATGTCCAGCAGTGGACTAGTAAAGGCTGTTGATGATGATGATGATGAAATTTGATCCTATAAAAGTAATATACATTTTGAGTAAAGAACTAAATAAACGTGAACTGAACTATGATCTATATGATACACCTGCTCCTGAAACAATGATCGGCGTCGTTGAGCTAGTGATTTAGTGAGCTATAACTAAGGTACTGATACATTCGGAGCTAGTGGGAATGGGTGATACATTTTATCGGCGTGAATGATATATATTTTTTAGATCACTCACTCAGGAGCTAAACAAAGTACACAACTCCACTCACGAGTTACACAAGCCTAGTCATGTGCGTATGATTGTTTTGAACGTGTTATGGATGAAGTATTAGTTAAAGTAACAAGATCAAAAAAGAAGGTCAGCATCTGTGGTGATTTCAATATTAACCTATTGGAAAATTCGAGTATAGTAACCAAGTTCATGGCACTTTTTCAATCATACAATCTGAAGAACTTGCTCTTGCCTACACGAATCACTGCCACCACTGCCACATGTTTGGACAATATATTTACAGATATTGTAATTAAGGACAAGAAAAAAATCAATCAATTACATTCCGACCACTGTGGTCAATTAGTATCTTTCTGTGATAGGTATGAAAAAGAGTCAGAAAAAGATTTTTGGTGATACCTAAAACCGCAAAGCGTTGTGAAAACTTTAAGGATAAACTTAAAGCTGCTTTTAATAATTCAGTACTCTGTGTAGAGAATAACCTAATACATATTATAATAGTTTTTTTGAAACTTTTTCTTCAACATTTAACACCATTTTTACACCAAAAACGCTAGTGGTTATAGGTCACGCCACATTTAGTGAACGGGCTACCCCTGGCTTACTCAAAACTAGGAAAAGATTATACGAGCTATATGATGAGAGGGATTATAATAAAAGTGAACAGTTTCATAATTACGTTTAAGAATATTCGAAACTGTTTAGGAAACTTTGTAAACTGGCTAAGTCTCGTTTTATAAGTTCAAAGATTAAAAGTAGCAATGATAAGATTAAAACCACTTGGAAAATTATTAATAGTGAAACTGGCAAAGATCAATACCGTGATAATGAATTTAATTTAAACATAAACAATAAATTTATCACATCAAATGCTGAGGTTGCTGCTGAATTTGAGAATTTTTTTACTAACATTCCTGTATCAACTACTAAATCTTTGAACTCCTCACCATGCCTTGCAGAATCAATTTTAAAAGAGAATGTTAGAAGAATTGATAGTGAATTTAAGTTCCAATATGTGTCCCCCTTTGAAATGATTAAAGCCTTTAACACTATTAATGTTAAAAAAACAACCGACCTATGGGAAAATTCTGTTTTAATTACTAAGACAATTATATCTGTTGTGGCTAATCAATTGTCATTTACATTTAATCAATGTGTTGATAGTGGTGTCTATCCTGATCTTATGAAGTCTAGTAAAATTATTCCATTATTATAATCGGGTAGTACATCTGACCCAACTAACTTTAGACCTATCTCAGTACTACCAGTATTTAGCAAAATTTGTGAAAAAAATATTTATGATCAATCGTAAAGTTTTTTTAATAATAATAATTTATTACACAATAGACAATTTGGTTTTACTACACAACTGATGCCAGTGTTGAGCTAGTAAAACATATATTTGATGCCTGGGAGGATGCCCACGATTCTCTAGGTATCTTTTGAGATTTATCTAAGGCTTTTGATTGTGTTGTTCATGAAATGCTGATCAGGAAATTACAGCACTATGGTATCAAAAATAAAGCCCTGGAACTTCTTGCCTCATATCTATGTAATGGGATTCAAAAAGTTGATATGGTGAGCGGTCTCCAGGCTCTGTGGTAGAAATGGGCGGTCCACAGGGTTCTATTCTCGGCCCTTTTTTGTTTTTAGTAAATATTAACGACTTACCTCACCTTGTCAAGGACAATCTCGAGATTGTGTTGTTTGCAGATGATACATCACTATTATTTAGACTACAACGGACACTTTCTGATTTCACATTCGTAAACAGCGCCATTTCGAAAGTGGTTCATTGGTTTGACGTCAACAATTTACTATTAAATGAACAAAAAACTAAGTGTATACGTTTTACTATGCCAAACGTCAAGCCAGTGAATACTACTGTGATAGTTAAGGATGTAGGACTGGACCTTGTGGACACTACGACATTTTTAGGTATAACACATAGATTCTAAGCTACAGTGGGGCGCACATATTGATAAATTGTCGAGTAGACTCAGCTCAGCAGCATACGCAGTAAGGAAAATTCGAGAGTTGACTGATGTTGATACAGCACGACTTGTTTACTTCAGTTACTTTCATAGCATAATGTCGTACGGTGTTCTGCTGTGGGGGAATGCTACCGATATTCAAACTATTTTTTGTGCTGCAAAAGAGAGTTTAAGAGAGCGATTCGAGCACTTTATAATGTAGGCAATCGTTGTTCATTGAGGCAGGAATTTAAAGAAATAAATATAATGACAGTGGCAAGTCAATATATTTATGAAAATGTAATATATGTTCATAAAAACAACGATAGCTTTTTGAAAAAAAGTGATGTACATGCCACAAATACCAGAAATAAAAATAAACTTGTAGGACCCGCCTCTAGGCTCCAAAAGATAAACAAGTCTTTTCGTGGTCAATGTTTCCTATTTTATAATAAAATCCCAAATAATATTCAAGAGTTAAGTACGAGTATTAACAAATTTAAATCCGCAATAAAACGTGGCTTTTGCCAGAGGGCCTACTACTCGATTGTGGATTACATGGAGGACAAGAATGCTTGGGATTAATTAGCGCAGGATATTTCTTTCTTAAGTAAAAATGTGGTGTGGCTAGTGTGTTTTTTATTTTTATTATTTTTTATGTTTCACTTCATTTTCTCTTGTATTCGTTTTTTTTTTCTTAATCTTGTTTTCTCTTCACTGTCTTTTTACCTTTTAGTCCTTGATAACGGACATACTAGCACACATCAAAACAATGTTGTGGTATATTTAATACTGTATCTACCTGTGAATTGCAAAAGAGTGGCCATGAGTTTGTTTGCCCTTTCTTCTCATAAGGCTCAACCCCTTGGAAACGGGCGGTTGTAGATCGGCACAGGCATATCATAGATTTTGTATGCATTTGATTTTTGTTAAATTTATTTGCTTACTATTTGACAAAGCAGAGATTGTTGCTTTTGTGTGTGTTGATCTATGACTTTAGAGACTACATAAAAGATGATTTCAAACAATTTTGAAAATTTTATGAAATAAAGAGAGTTTGAGTTGCCCCTGCGGAAAAGTTCGAATTTCATTCTTTGAGTTTTACAGATATTTAGTGTATGACGTCGTGTAATAGTGTATGGTAAGTAAAAATTTGTGAATCCAACCATTAGGGAGTTATTCACGAAAAACTGTTTCCGCTGGGACAACGTTGACCCAGCGGCACGTTGTTTATCCTACGGACGTAGTAGAATAAAAATGGTAACAAAAATTTGTGTCTGACGTGAGGTAATTGTGTATATTTAAATTAAATTTGTGCTTCAATAAACTTCAAATATATTCAAGTTTCCGCTGCGACAACGTTTGACCATTTGCTAGATTTCAAATAAAACGTTGATCTAGAGAGCTGTAGATTTTTTCATACGTTGTTTTGAATTTGTTCATACTGCTTTTAAAAACGGATTTAAATAAATCAGAGAAGATAAAAATATAAACGTAAAATAAGGTCCTAGGACTTAATGCTTACGCACTTGGGTATAGTTTAAATCGTTTATACATACCTTGTAAGCATCTACGTCTTGCCAAGTATCATTGATGTACTCATAGTAATTAAACAGCTATGGGATAATTTATTATGTCTGGACAACTGTTAAATATGCAGTACGAGATCCTAGAGGAAATGCGTCATAAAACATATTCTAATAATTAGTGAATTAATTCAACTATTCACATGTAAAATTTCATTTTATTACACTCCATAATTAAAGAAATAGAATAAAAATACTAACAACCACTGCACTGTACATAACCCGACCCAGTTCGGATGGCTACAAAAAAGCGGCCGTGTAATATATTTAGGTAACATTCTAAAATTTACCGTATACTATTTACACAACTGCAACTGCATTCTTAGGTACGTCCTCAAAATATATATTAATAAAAAGGGACGAAATAGCAATCACGGATCACAAAATCACAGACCAACAATTTTTATTTATTAATAATAAGGGGCTATCGACGATAAAATAAATCAACATAAGTACATATCTAATAAAAAAGTACTTTTAAATAATGTCTTTGAAATGGTTTTCGACATTTGACTAGTTCAAATGTCGAAAACTTTCTGACGTTACCAAAATATTTATCCATAACTCCACTTAGGTAATTTTCGCAATAGTCTTTTTAGTGTTTCATTTATAGCAGACAAGTATTACTCGTTTTTGTTTTCATTCCTAGAGTCAAGTAACTCAAGTCATCATCTGTAAATATGAGAATCTAGAATACTAACTAATATAAGAGCTTGTCTAAGTAGAAAACGCATGTCGAAATTAGTCTTCCTTAACAGCAATAGTGCCAGTAGTATTTCATTAGGAAAAATGAATGCAAAAAAATTGAACATAATTATGACGGGCGATGATAATATCATGCTATTTACTAAATGTGAAACCAAGCGAAAAAGTGATGTAATTATTATTTGTAGCGTTCTCGATCAATGTAACTGTCGTGATTTTTCACTAGCGATTTCATTCAGATTTCGATATTCGATTCAGATATAGCGAAAAAAACTAACAGCACTATGATCATGAAATATTTTTATAACTTTATTTCCCATGCCTAATAAGTGCATAAGTAATATGAATAATACAGACTTTAAATACTGTGTACACGATTTAATATCGTTTAAAGATTATATAATCAGTTGCAATTTGATGTAAGCTGTTTGGTGGAAATCATCCAATAGAAATAATCTATTGAAAATATTGTTTTATTTAAAACTTTCAAAACTTTTCATCTTTTATTTTTGTAAGCAGATAAGTACGTAATTAATAGTATATTTATTTTTTTATTGTTTATGCACAAATTGTTAATTGTACAGGGTTTTCCAATAAGAGGTGTTATTTTAGTATTCAAAGAAAAATGCAATTTTTTAAGATAAATAATCGGCTGTTTATTTTATAATAAAGAGGAAGGTATGCCGTTAATAATGGAAGATAACATCAGACAAATGGCTACCACGACCACGCTTACAGGACCATATCCTTTTAATGAAATTTTGCATAACCAAATCGCAAAGTGGGTGCCCTATGTCCTCGATAGCCTCACGAATTCCATCTTTGAGGTCTTGAATCGAGTAGACCTTATCTTTCACGTGGCCCCAAAGGAAGAAGTCGCACGGTGTTAAATCACAAGATCTCGGTGGCCAAATTGTGATCACCTCTTCGAGAGATAACACGGTCAGGAAACTTTTCCCGTAAAAGAGCAATGTTTTCGTTGCTTGTGTGGCACGGAGCGCCGTCTTGTTGAAAGTAAACGTTGTCCAGATCAATACCATCCAACTCCGGCCATAAAAAATCATTAATCATATCTCGATAGCGCAATCCATTCACCGTAAGTGTTGATCCAATCTCATTTTCGAAAAAGTAAGGTCTTATGACCCCGCCGGACCATAAACCGCACCAAACAGTCACACGTTGAGGATGGAGAGGCTTCTCAACAATAACTCTTGGGTTTTCCGAGCCCCAGATGCGACAATTTTGCTTGTTGACGTAGCCTCCTAGGTGGAAATGGGCCTCATCAGTCAAGATGATTTTTCGATGGAATTCCGGATCATTTTCATGCATTTCAAGTACCCAATCAGCAAAGACACGACGTTGTTGATGATCGGCCGGCTTGAGTTCTTGTCTTAACTGAACTTTATAAGCCTTAAGACCCAAGTCTTTATGCAAAATACGGTGTAATGACGTTTGTGGAATGCCCAATTCCAAAGAACGACGAGGAATGGACAAACCTGCGTTTTCTTCAACACTTTGGGCTACAGCAGCAGTATTCTCAGTTGTTCTTGAGCGACGTGCACGGGTTTTATTCTTCACATCACTAACTTGTCCCAACAGTGAATTTTTCCACAAATTTCTGTATTGCGGTCCGACAAGGTGCTTCACGACGACCAAAAAATGCTTTAGTTTTGCGAACTGTGACTGCAAGATTTTCACCATTTTTGTAGTGATTTTTAATAATTTCAATGCGTTGTTGTTCCATTTTTAGTAATGGCGTAGTTTCTACTTGTCAAATGTCAAAAAATAAACGCTTCAAAAGTGACAGCTACCGAAATACCGGGTGATTCAAAATAACACCTCTTGTTGGAAAACCCTTTAGGCAGCGTTCCCACTACGCCGGACCGGCAGATCTGCCGGAAACCGGACACCGGACAGAGTGTTCACATTACATCGGATCCCGGAAAAAAATCAGACAGTCAAGTACTGCCTCAGTTAAATTTGGACCTGCGCGAACAATGGACGACGAAATTGTTGTGTTGTGGTGGTATCTTAATAGAAGGCAAAATAAAAGAAAACATTGGGTACACCCTATTTTACGGGAAAGATTTTCACTTGGAACATTTGAAACATTAATGGGTGAACTTAGAAGAGACGAATCAAAGTTCTTCAATTATTTTCGAATGACAGCAACCACTTTTGACGATTTACTGGGACGACTAGACATAAGAGTACGAGATACAAGTTTCAGAGAATGTATTTGCCCAGAACAAAGATTAGCCATATGTCTAAGGTAAGATTATTTTATGCACTAGATTGCGTAATAATAGTTTTGACGTAGGTACCTACTTAAGACTGAATGAATGAATGAATGTTTGCTATGTATGTTTGTTTGATGAATGTGAATATATATAATGTGTGTGTGTGGGAGGGTGTATGTATTTGATAATCATTATGAATTAAAAATGCAAATAACTTATTTAAGTATTTATTTGTACTCAAACTTAAATCCCTTCAAAATCTAAGTAATCTGAGTCTTGGGAATGTATGGAATGATTACTAGATGCTGATGGCGAAGCTGGAATCGGATTCGATGTCTGAGATGAAGTTGATGGTATAGATGTTTTTGCCTGTTGATTGCTACTATTATATTGCGTAGAGTATCCAGGGTAGTGTTGATCTTGCGTAGGTGTTGCCTGTTGATTGACGCTATTATGTGTGTAGCATCCAGAATACTGATCTGGTCCGGTCATCTGATTATATGAATCACGCCAATGTCCGTAATTTGGTCTCTCATAATTCCTACTTTTAATTTTTTGCAACATTGTCATGACGCTAGCTTGAAATTCTAAAGTCTCTTCGATAGTTAAAGTGTTTAAGATTGGTATAATGCCTTTGAAGAAAGACAGATGATGGTTTTCTTTTTCTGGGTTTATTCTGGAGTCCAAAAACTTTACCATCCTGTCATTTACCTCTTTATTATCAATTTTTCTGTTATCTTTAATTAAAGGTGAACGAAAATCTGATTCCATGCCTACTTTAGTCTCGGTTCTTGCTTTTTTTGAAACTGACTCATGTGGTGGTCGAGGTTCGGAGACTTTTTTCAAAAACATTAATTGCTCGTGATATAAATAATTTCGTGTCTTTTTGGCCGAAGATCCAGATTTAGACTCATCTTATTGTTTCTTGACTGTCTTAAGCCACGAATCTCGTATATTATTCCATTTAATTGAAACCTGTTTTCCTGAAATCAATAAAAAAAGACCATAAAACAATACAATTTGTTTCTTGGTGACGTATAAAGTAATAATGTAATAACAAAAAAGACTATTTTTTTCAGATATTTAGCTTCAGGATGTTCATTCAAAGAAATACATTACTTATACAGAGTAGGCGTTTCGACAATAAGTAAACTAATAAAAGAAATGACCCACGTCATTTGGGAAAACCTAAAGACAGATTTCCTTAAGCTGCCTGATACTGAGAGAGAATGGGAGGACATCGCTTCAGGATTCGAAAGAAAAGCCAACTTTCCTCACTGTCTTGGAGCAGTAGATGGCAAACATATCAGAATTTTGAAACCAGCCAAGAGTGGTTCTATGTTCTTTAATTACAAGGAGTCTTATTCTTTTGTATTAATGGCAGTTGTCGATTCAGAGTACCGATTTATTTTTATTAGTGTGGGCTCATATGGCAAGGAATGCGGTTCTACTATATTAAAGGATAGTTCATTTTGGCAAAAGATCAATGATGGTACTTTAAATGTACCAAAGCCTAGACCGCTTCATGAAAACTTGCACGAAGAATTACCGTTTATACTTGTTGGCGATGAAGGCTTTGCTTTAACACCTAATCTCCTACGTCCATATGGAGGTACACATTTGAATACTGATAAAAAGATTTTTAACTATAGACTAAGTCGAGCAAGAAGGTATGTTGAGTGCGCTTTTGGTATTCTGGCAAATAAGTGGCGAATAATCCATCGAGCTATAGATCTGAACGTAGACAAAGCAATTCAAGTAATTAAAGCTTGTACAGTCTTACATAATTTTGTAAGAGAAAAAGATGGTATAAATTTTGAAAGTTACCAAAATATAGAACACAGACAAGAACAAGAAACGACACCCATGAATCAGAATGTGTCGAGTCGAGGTGGCCCTAATGCCAACGCTATACGGACATCATTTACTAATTATTTTGTTTCGGATATTGGTTCCGTTCCGTGGCAGGCAGCAGCTATAAAATAAAATTTATCAATGCATTTACATTTTATCAATAAAACATTAAAAACTCACTGTACTGTTTTCTTTCTTTTTCATCCAGTTCATCGAAGTTTGGTTTCAGTATTAAACATACTTCACGCCATGCTGCTAACTTTAAGTTTTTGTCTTTATAGACGTCTTCGGTCTTATCCCACAGAACAGGTCTCTCTTGGACAAGCGTAATTAAAGTTTCTGCTTGAATATCCATGCCAAACGTCTACTTTTACCAGAAAATGCGAGCCGAATGACGTGAGTGGAACACGGGCGGGGCGAGGGGAGCACGAGCGGGGCGAGCGGGGGACAGATACCGGCACAAACTCGTTCACATTACTCCGGGCCCGGTCGTTCTAACGGCAATTCGTAGTGACAAAACGCTCGGTTAAAATGCCGGGCTCGGCAAAAATGCCGGACCCGGGATAATGTGAATAGCTTCATATAAATTGTACAGCCACTAGCCCTTCCGGCAGATTTACCGGCGCGGCAGATCTGCCGGTCCGACATAGTGGGAACCCTGCCTTATAATGGCTGACTAAATGCCACACGCATTTTTTCTGACTCTACCGTTGCATGGTGGCGAAATGTCTAAGTAGGTACACTAGAAAGTTATTTCGTTTTTGTTTTTTTTCGTGAATAACTTCGTGAAACAGTTTTTAGTGAATAACTCCCCAATGGTTGGGCATCCAACCATTGGGGAATTTGTGTATACAAATTTTTACTTACCATACACAATTATAGGACGTCATACACTAAATACGAGTATCTGTTAAACTCAAATACTGAAATTCGAACTATTTCACACACACAATGGCAATGCACACGTCTAGTCCCCATGTTTTAGCGCCATGTATTAATTCTGAGCGTACATGTTTACTAACATAATACAACTTTGAAATATCAATAATACTATGTACCAATAATACTAATATATATAATAATATATACAATAATTCTTAAAAACACAGCCTTTGTTTGTAATATCCTATTAAAGTGTGAGCTCTTAAAAATCAAATTACCATTAGATAACAAAAGCTGCGTGTTTAGGTGGTGTTCATTTTTAAAACGGAAAGTCAATAAATAAAAGGAATCGGTTTTTGTTAGTACTGTGTCATGTTATTTATAATAATTTTGCATGGCATATTCATCATCCCCATCATACATAACTTAAATAATATTATATTACGCTCTAAGAAAAACACACCTAAAAGCCTAAAAAATAAGCGACCAACAAACTATCGCAAGAAAATTAAAAAAGAGTCCATAATATCGCAGATAACTGGTGAAGTAAAACACTAATACGAAAAGCTAGCTAAACTCAATTGTAGTGGCCGAGGAAAAACATCCACGACCCACGCACAGAAATTCACCAATATGATCGAAAGAAAACTTTGTAAACAATTGATAAAAACATTCAGCCAAAATCTTTGATAAAAATATTGCCATAATATGTAGGTAAAATTCTACCCATTAATTAATTTTAGTGTAAAAAGAAGTAGATTATAAAGCAAATATTTAAGAGTAAAACTCTTATATTCGAATGAATATAATTTCAAAATACTTCCTTATCTTTAAATAGTATAAGATAAAGTCGCTTTTTTTTGTTGTACGCTTAGATCTTTTAAACTAAGCAACAGATTTTAAAACGGTTTTCGCCAATAGATAGAGTGATTCAAGAGGAAGGTTTATATGTATAATATATCCATATTATGGTAAAGAAAATCCGAGAATTTCAAAGATTTGTCTTAAAAACATGGTTTTACTCCACACTGACACCACATTGGTAGTGTCTACATTGCACTTGAGCGAAGCCGGGGCGGATCACTAGTATAATTATAACAATGAGTAATTTCATTGTTCATCATTAGCCCCTTACGTCATTTTTCCGTAGACACTTTGTTTCGTGGTTATGTAAACCAATTCTAGAGCGAAAGTTTCGGTGTCGCTACACTCTATTTTGGCCAATTTCTGGAGACAGGTGTTATCGTAAATTACGCACCCTAGATCAGATCACAAGCTTCTTCCATTTATCGTGATCACCAGTGACCTTCTCCTACACTACATGGTCGATCAAAAATGAGATCATGTCCCTCTTCGAGGCCTTAAGGATGTGTAACCATAACTTTATTCCGCATTCAAATTACTGAAATAGTCATAAACTGTAAAGTTGCAACACTTGAAAATATTAAAAATAAACCATGTAACCATGGATACGTATATTTCTATGGGTGTAACTTTGGAAAGTGATTTAACGCCATCTGGCTACCACTTTAGAGATTAGATAAGATTACACATAAATAATGGAAATAGTAATTAGGGGATAAAAATAACAGACAGCACCACAATGTTTGTAAAATGACACGTAAAAGACTTTCAACGTCAAAAAGAGTAATCGGCAGTGTTGCCCATAACTATCGCCGAGACTCGCTCCCAAAATTGATAGGAAAAAAGGAATTTATCTTTTGTTTAATTTTTTTATTTATGTGGAAAATTATCTTTATTTTCAAAAATAAAATTACGTGGGTAATTATTAGGACCATAAAAAACATATCAAATAATAAATACGTGTTCCAAAGTTCATGAAATAAATATCTGTAAGGCTTTATCGAAATTTATTTATTTTATTTATTTATTACATCATACATATATTACTCATATTACTCATGTAAGTATTGTGGTTAATGTTGTTTTGGGCTTGTATTTGATCTGTATTTTCACTATTTATTTTATTTTGCTTGGTGTTCAATGTAGTTCGAGTTTCTTTTATATATTTTTTTAATGTTTTAGATATAATCCCAACGCTAATTCCCAAAATGTTAGTACTTGCTGTAGCCTCCTCTAACTGAAGGCGTGCCCTAGAATTTTTTTTAGTTTGTATAAAATGATTTTATTGTGTAGGTACCATCTTTTGTGGTAAATATATAAATAACAAGTTTTAGACCTTACTAGGATGACACTAATATTCTTGAATCATCATTAGCAGTAGTTCTAGAACTTATTTCAAAATACGGCATCAGCAAAAAATGACTTGGATTTTTGTAGTCTATATACCTAGTTAGGTCATAAGATATACTGGATAGATATACTTCAACTAATTTTAAAAAGAGAACGTTAGAGCTAACCGAAAATAAATTATTTTTATTTATTTTGCGACTTATTTTTCAAATTTGCCACATTATAGTAACCTGTGTTTCAAATATTGATCGGCTAAATAAGGAAGATAGAGTCTTACGTGCCAACAGAGTTTTCAATATTCTGCAAAACCTGAAAATAACACTTCAGTTTGTTTATCACACTATCAAACAATACATTGAAGATTCAAACTTCGATGTTCATAAGAGGAGCGGCTGACCTCGCACAGTTAGGACACTAGTGATCATCAAAGCAGTGAAGGCGCGAATCCAACGAAATCTCATGCGTAAACAAAAAACTTCTGCTCTTGAGTTGGGGCTAAGGAGAACCACGATCAAAAGTAGAATTTTTTTTTTTTTTTAGACGAAGTAGATTTATTTTATTGCTCACTGAGTGAATTCACAATAACAGCATTAAGAATTATTTCTTATAATAAATAAGTAGATGGTATAACACTATTGCATTGGGCTAAGCCTGTAAAAATAGTTGTTTTTAAAGAAAATAAATAAATAATAAATAAATAAAAAAAAGAGTGTTAAATGAAGACAAAACAATTGTGGGCGTGGCCAAAGTGGGGCGTCGCTCACGGCCTCGCACTTGGGGGGCCTCGCGAGACTCCTTTAAATGCGAAGTCCAAAGAATTTACTACAGATGACTAATTAAATGTTTTTTTAAAGATAACTCCCGCATTAGGAATATATCATGTGTCGGTTTACAAACATACATGAAACGGACACAAATAACATTCAGACTCAGAACAATAATTTGTGGATCACACAAAGTGTCGTACCATGTGGGGTTTGAACCCCCAACACTCGGCGTAGTAGAGAACGGCGTGGCGACCGCTTAAACTACTACGCCATCCGTGCAGTCAAATTAATTTGATCACATTTACGCTCGAAGTGTGTTGTGTAAAGAATAAAGCCGAAGAAATTAATTTGGTAAGAAATTAAATTATGCAAGTAACAAAATAAAACCTGTTTTTCAAATCTATAAGCTTTCGAATATTCTGCTATCGGCATCGCACATTTTTTTCACTATCATGAGTAGGTATGTCGTATTAAAGCACGTTTGGGAAAAAGATCTATTGGGCACCTATGTCTTGGGAATGAAAGAAAGGGGCCTCGCTGATGCAACTTTGCCTACTTCTATTTTTCTTTTGTATCTTAGTCCACGCTACGCCTCTGTGAATTTTCAACATAAGTGCAAGGTTGTTGTATTGTAAAATATCGGGAGCATGTTTGGACTTGGACTTGGTCATGATTTCATTGTCGAGACTTGTACGCTCGAGTTTATTATCTGGCACGAACTTGTCCACACTTATTGCCTTACCGAGTTTTTCATCTTATACGAACTTGTGCACGCTTAATAACTTTTTCCTGAAATACAACAATGATACTTCTCTCTAAATATTAGTCATTCTTATAATAAGTTAGTACACGTACCACAACTTTTACAGTATCGTGAAGGTTTCAAATAAGAATTTGTGTTTGTTGACCTCGTCGACTCTCAAAATCAGTTTTCGTTTAGTCGATCCCTGGAAAACGGATTTCGACCCCAAGAGGTCGATATCAACCACTTGAGGCATCACTGTTTTAAATATTTGGTGAATGTACAAGGTTTGATTGTACAAAATACGAGATCGGGGAAAGAAGTTCTTAGGTTGGCAATCCTGTTTTTGACATTTGAAAACCACTGCGTGCGACACCACACGATAAATAAATCGATAGAAGTTGTGAAGTACCTCAAGTCGTGATAACGCTATATTATGTTAATATTTATTTATTAAGAACTACAAAGAGTAACTCACTGAACGTGGTTCTAAAATAAATGGAAAGTATAGAAGAAGCCTCTACAAACATAGATATGGGATATACAGACAAGAATTCTGAATCTTCGCGCTTGGTTGATTCGAGTCCTGTAACAAAACCAAGTTATATGAATATAGCAAGCAATATATGTGCCGTGATGGTCCTTGGCATAATGATTTATTGCAGTTTCGAAAAAGGAGTCTCGCTTTTTTCATTTCATCCTACTTTAATGACGCTTGGGGTAAGTATTTATTTACACGTACTATTTAAATTATTTCATTCACCCTTTAATAAATACTATTGCATAATTACAGTGGATTGTGTTCATGACATCTGCAATAAATGCTGTTACTCCAGGCGATTTAGCGACCGAGTGGATGCCTATGAGATTAAGGAGTGCGCGTCATTGGGTTCTTCAGTTAGTAACGGCATCAGTAATACTAGTAGGATTTATTGTAATCCTTACAAACAAAGTGCTCAATAATGCTTCACATTTTGTGACTCTTCATGCCAAATTTGGATTAGCATCTTTAATTTTCATTATTTTTACTATGACGGGAGGCTTAGGAGCTCTGTATAGTTTAAAATTGAAATATTATCTTGCTCCTCTTTACACTAAACTAATTCATGCCTCTGCTGGTTTACTGACATTTATTTTGGGCATTATAACCATTTTACTTGGGCTCTTTTCAAACTGGTACACATTTGGTGATACATTACGATATATCAGTTTCACTTTGGTACTTATGGTTATGGTTTTAACAATATTGAGGCCCAGTTTAAAAATATATTTTCGTCTAAAAGAAAGACTCGATGTTGGAAATTAAACTGATGAAACTATTCATGCTTGTATGTAATAGATTCTTACCACACTTTGAAAAGTAATTATGAAAAAACCAAATATAAAAATGACAGTTTATATCAAATGGAACAGATAGTTGTTAAGGCCACAATATGGTAATTTGGTCTAACATTATCAGATTAGTAGAATTTGTTTTAATGAGTTGTTAATTTTATTATAGATTTTTATCAGTGACTGTCATAAATTCCAGTTTATAAGTAAGTTTTGTGATATTTTGTTATAATATTTCTTATACAAGAGCATAATAAAATTATTATTGTTTTACTTACATTTATAAAGGCTAATTAATGTTACTGTTATTAATCAGTCTTTGAGTTACTATAATAGAGAATACACATAGTTATAATGTGTTTAATGTGGTGCTTATTTTTCTCAAATATTTTTTTATAGATTAGTATAGTTTTATGTAAAAATATATAGTTATCCATTAATAAAGCCTAAACCGGAATCATTATGAATAGATTCATGTCATTATTATGTTAAAGTAATAATAAGGAATCTTTTCACAAGAGACACAACCATATTTTAAAACAAATTTATTTAATTATTTTTATAAAGATTTTGGGTAAATACTTAATAACAATAGTGAAGTACTTAATAAATATATCAGTAACAAAACAGTTACATATATCATCAAAAAATTAAGATATCCTATCAATATTCTAATTCTATTCTATCAATATTGTATATCAGATTTAGGTATAGGGTATCTAAAAAATTGTCTATTTAGGTAATCCCTTTTATGTCTGCAGGATATATGAAATCCTATAACCTTTACAGCTTCAAGAATTGGTTATAAATTTATAGTAAGGTATATTTACACTATTAATAGGAGAATAATGTGAGACTTATGTTTTATAGATAAAAAGTATAATTATATAAAATTTGAATATTTTATGATATAAATGTATTGTATTCTTTTTCTAAATTGTAAGAGCCCATTTTATTGTAATATAATTTATGTAAGAGAAATGTATGGCTGAAAATTCTTAATTGAACATGTCTACTTTATTCTAAACTTATAAATTTATATGGTATGCATTGTAACCTTGTAAGCTTATAAATGAATTCAATATTACAATGTCTAAAATGTAGTGTATGCAACATCTAGTATACATAGAAGATGACTTAAAGTAGCTGTTCTAGTAAGCATGTTAGAATGATAATGTAGATGGTGTAACCAACATGAGACTAGTCACAAAACATATGGGTTCTTAACTTTTATCTTTACATTCTTGATTAAATATAAGAAAATATTATTAAAATAAAAGAGAGAGCATAAGTTGTGTCCTTAAACTAGGTTTGACAAAAAAGACGTCTACATTGTTCAGTTTTTTGCATGTGGATGCAATAAAAGCTCAGCAAGGAGTAGAGTAGCATTAGAGAAATGTCTCAAATGTTTCATGTCAGTCAATAAAACAGTCAACAGCAACAATGACAGGTAATTTAGATTATTACCAGGAAGTTTTTGTATATCCGAATCTCCTTATTAGGATTATTTGGAATATATTTTACCGTAATCTGTGCCAATGTATTAAAATTAGTCTTTAAAAGAACTACATCGACAGTTGACTTCAAAGTTACCACTCCACTATGTTAATGTAGTACTAGATATTTTATTTAGATAAGAATTAAATGACTACTATTTATATAAAAAATGTTTTATCATTGTGTAGTACTATGTTTGCTTTATTCTATGGATGTCTATTTATATTTTAGATACAAATTTGTCTATTATCAATCAATAAAGGAATTTAAAAAATGATTCTTAACTTTTCTTTTAATTAATAAAAGAGTTCGTTTTTTGAATATGATATTGCAACAAAATGAAAGCCTTCACATAAAAGGTAGGTATATCACAGATGCCTACTCAAAAATCTTTTTGCTCCTATCAAATCCCAAAATAGCATTCGAATTATGGCTTCCTACCATTAATACTGCCTTAGCAACAGTTTGGCAAAAATTCTAAACAAGGTAATATAATCTTACATGAATAATTTTGTCTTTACACAAAATTTTGATAATGATCTCGTCAAACTACTACTAATGAATTCTAAGTAGAAGACGGGAAAAAAAATAAGAATAAATAATAAAATATAAGAACCACGGGAACCTTATTCCCTCCTTTTTCTAACTTTGGTTGGACTACCGCATAGTACCATTGTATGTAGCTGACCCATCTTTAATGAATGTTAACTAATATTTAGACCCTACTGGTGGCATAATTTTGCTCTGTACCTACCTAAGTTTCCGTGAAATCGTGGCCACATGTGGTTTCCTTACTTTAAAAACAATAAATCTTTTTATTAATAATATTTCGTTACAGAATAGTAGTTTGGGTCAAGTTTTACTTAAGATATAAATGCCCATGAGTTTCCATGACAATAATTTTTTTCTCTTAATTACGTTTCAACCGTGATTTTTACATAAAACGTTTCACTTTGAGTGTCGTGCTCTGCCGCAGAGCCACCCCAATAAATAACGATCGATTATATCTTAAAATGATGTACGTCAAACGTACATAATGTACCTGGCTGTAAGTACACAAGTTAACAAAATAATGAGCTTCGATTGTGGCTCTGTTGCGGAGCTTATTCCCAAAGCCAGAGCCACTTAACACACGTACTCAGTACTACTCGGACAGATAAAAGCTACTGTTTTTATATGGAAACTAACGTACGAATACTGTTTATTGTGTACATGTTATAAAATATCATTAGGTACTAAGATGTGATTTTGATTGTTTTCACTTTACTCAAATTTTCATAGAAAACGCGTTGTTATTTTGTGTTAGCATTTTTTTTTAATGATCTGCTTTGAATTTAATTGAACACATAATTTAGAACAAAATATATTTATCTATATATATATGTATAAGAGATTTCCTCTAAAGTCACTCATTACGATATCTCTGGAACCATTAGAGCTAAAGACTTGAAATTTGGTAGGAATATTCTTTTCACCGAGTAGAGGTCAGCTAAGAAGGATTTTAGTTTTTTTTTTTTTAAATAATGTAAATAGCAAAACAACGTTTGCAGGGTCAGCTAGTTGTATGATATAACCTTCGCTGCCTAAGTGAAACTTCGTATTTTTTCTTTTTATATTTTTATTTTCATCTAATAACGATAACAAACAACCTATTTGAACCGAGTAGGTACACGAATTATAATGCACCTTATATACAGACAGTGTAATGAATTCCCATCTACTAATATTCCAACGCTGCCGAGCTTAATAAGTCGTTCCTTCCACTCTTTCACGAGGACCTGGCGGAGATGGGCATACCTAACTACTCATGACAGTGAAAAGAAAAATGTACGATGACAGAATATTAAAAAGCATTTAGATTTGAAAAAAGTTTTATTTTGTAATTGCGTGATTTCATTTCTTACCAAGGTAATTTCTTCGGCTGTTTACTTTACTCCTCCTCCTAATAAGACCTCTGATAAAGACTTGTAAATATTTTTTGCAGCCTTATCTGCTTAAACCCATCGTTGAAACATGATTTTGATTAAAATAGGAATAATCTCTGCATATAAATGCTTTCTTAAAAAAAATATTTGTAAACGATAGAGTTCATTCAACATTCAGGCGGAGACAAAAGAAACAAGCATTAAATAAACATTGATTCACCTCGTTTCTTAAAATGGGTTGAAAAGTGCGCTGCCATTTCTATGGAAGTGTCTAATCATTGTTAGATTATAAAACACTGAAAATTTCGAAACAGGTGAATCCTTCCAACTAAAATACATCTATAAGTTACTACGTGATCTATTCAAAAGGCCTTAATTGACACATTTAATGTCTCGGAGTGATAGACCAAAAACGGAACAGAAAACAATTTTTATTAGTAATTTTTAGGGTGATAATAGTTAACAACTCGCCGTTTTTATTTTGGTTTAAACCCGTTTCTTCCCAAAAACTCAATTGAATCCATTGGGATTCAACCATCTCCCCATCTATCACACGTCGCGTCACACGACAGGTCGCGTTACGACACGACATGACATATTCTAAGGCCTCCAACCATTCTAAGGCCCGGCGCCCACTATCGGCACGGCATGCCAGGTCAAAAGTGTCAAGGTACACCTCGGCATACCCCGAAAAAAAATATATCTTAAGGACGCCGAAGCAACATCCGGTAGTTTTAGGGACACCGAGTCAAAACTGGGAATAGTTTCTTTCAAAGCCTTTCTGGCTTCTGGTTTTTCTTCTTCATCAGCAAGAATAGCAATGAGCACCAAGTTCCAATCTAACATTATGAACACGATTGTCCGCTTGCAACGTTGCGACTGTTCTAAATTAACTAGGGTGGTCCCGAGCTGTTACGTTGGCATTCCTAAGCAGACCTCGGCATGCCTATGAATTGCTCGGTATTCCCAGGCACATCTAACTATGCCTGAGGACTCCTCGGCACTAATTGCTTTCAGTGTGTGTCTGCGCGTAAATATGAAGAAGGATTCCTTGTTATGCCGTCGCGATAGCGGGCGCCGGGCCTAAATGTATGAAACCAATATGCTTATGGCGCGACACGACACGCCACGACACGTAAGTGTGTTCCCGCCTTTATGTAGAGATGGATAGTTGAGTATTTTCTATTTGAAATGTTAAATTTTAGAAATGTTGTACACGGACTTCACTAGAGCATTGCTCACTATTTCTCTCACTTTTAGTACAGCTGTTTTATTTTGCGATTATTAAATATGTTTTTCTCATAAAAATGAAGCATAAAACCTACATTGAATTTACTTTGTTAAAGAAAACTTTTATTTGAAAATTACAAACCATGCGCTATGTCGTATGCTGGCAACTTTAATTGCTTAAAACTTGACTAGTACATACAAAAAAAAGAAAGGGTTATGTAGATATGTCTTAATGTGTTTTATTTGAAAGCAGCATTGTTGTCTACGTCGTGCTTTATCCGACTACACAAAAACAAATAAGAATATGTTTTAAACTGTAGAGTTATAAAAGTTTGCTTGTTCGCGGTACAATCTTAACCTTTAAATATAAACTCATCAATTCCCGGGTGAGATGAATGAGTTCCCGGATGTTGTTTTTTTTTGGGAAGCACTAAATGACGGTGTGCTGTTTAAATATATGTTTCACGTAGGTGGGCATGAAATCCTCACCACACGCTGCAAACTTATGATGTAAAATAAAAAAAATGACAGTGACAAGCAATATTACTATATTTTTGAAAAATCATGTAGAATAACACCATGTTTACGTGTATTTTCAGATTTGAGATCATTAATCATCTCATTTAATTTCTTAAACAAACTTATGATTGTTCCTATTCCATGTTGATATGTCATTAATAAAATATATTTTTACTGTTTTTAACCTATTTTATAATAAAAAAAATAAACACATGCCCTTAATTTTCATGGTTTCATTACAAAATGCCTTTAAAACTAGTGGCGACATGGAATAACTTGCCTCGCCTTGTCATGAAAAATATATTTTTTCCTGATTTTATGTAAGTATTACAGTGAATTTATATTACATATTAGTACACTTTAATTATTCTTTGATGTAATTGTACAAAAAAATTTTTTCTGAAATTAATAAGCATGCTCCTAGTTCAGTTCTTATTACTTCCAATCTATTTTCGATTTCTCAAATGTCATGAGGTAGATAGATATTTATTTTCTTAGTAAAATATTACTAAGACTAGAAGATTACCGATTCAACTTTCAGTCACAATGCGATATAATTACGATAGAATTGGCCTTCTGTCCTCCAGATAAGAGCACTACAAAGACAACTAACTATAAAGTTGAATATTTAATTTAGTGCCTTGGATTTATTTAATAAAAGTTGGCAACACTACTTTCTTATCAGTTTCGTCTCATCATTCGTTCAACTCCGTTCAAGTCAAAATATTAGTTTCATTTCAGCATTCCCCAAACTTAGTTCACGTTTACGTGTGTGTTAAATACTTGCGAATATTATGAAACAGTAAGTTTAACTAATTCTTTTTAAACATTAGAAATAAACATTTTAGGTTATAGTGTGTTATCATTCCAAAATGTTATCAATGTAAATTTCCTTTTTATGTAAAATATTTATTTAGGGTTAAAAGAAGACTAAATATTAAAAAATACTTACTTACTTACTTAGAAAAACGCGTTTGAATTATCAGATATTAATTCATTGGAAAATATAATGACGTAAAAAATAGGTTCCTAAAAAAGGTAAAAAAAAGTTCGCGCAAGTATGTTATTATTTATTTTGGTAGATAAAAATTCGGATTGCACTTGTATAAAAATATATTTTATTTCATATTTTTTTTAGCATGTAATTGAAAATACTGTTTGTCACAATTTGTAAACAATGGCTCATTCTGCAGAATCTACCGGCAATGTAAAAAGTGGTCTTATAGACTTCACAGCTGGCTCATTGGGTGAGTATTTGATTAAGCAAATCTCATTTTTTAATTTTTTATTTAATTTTATTAATAATATTTAATTTATTTATTACTGCCTGCATTTTTTCATTGCATGCTACTAATTTTGTGCAAGTAATATTTAAATAATGTTCTTCATAGGTGGTGTAGCTGTAGTTTATGTTGGCCAGCCACTAGATACAGTTAAAGTAAAAATGCAAACATTCCCCCACCTGTATAATAAGGGCATGTTGAATTGTTTGAAGCTGACACTGAAAAATGATGGGGTGATCAGAGGTTTATATGCTGGTACAACACCAGCAATTATGGCCAATGTAGCTGAAAATTCTGTGTTGTTTGCTGCATATGGCTATTGCCAGAAAATTTGTATGCAGACTCTCAGGAGTTGAGGTAAATTAATATACTTTATATCTTCTTTATCTTTCCTTATACTTCTTTATCTTTACTTTCTTGACATACCTTTTTCAACATTTAGAAATATATTACCTAATGTAAAAGATCCATTCCAGATCTAGCAAAAAGTAATGGACATGGATACAGGTTTTGCCCACTCGGGAATATCCACACATATGGATACATCACAACACCACATTGGCATACCTACATTTGAGCAACATTCATTTATTTTCATTAAATATAGGCTCTACACTTTTTATAATGCACCTTTAAAGCACATTTATTTACAGTGTTTTTCTTTAAAGGTATATTATGTCTAGTAAAGTCATACCCTCGTCCCTCAGGGTGGTGTTACTAATTACACAATTTTTACAAAAAATGTATCCATCACATTAACCTCCTATTGAAGAATTGTTTGCAAGATGTACATTACTAGCTTTTGCCCGCGTGTATGTAGACTATATTACTCGGTGATAATGTAGCTTTCTATTGGTGAAAGAATTTTCAAAATCGGTTTATTCCTTTAGACGTGAAAGCGTAACAAACAAATAAACTCACTTGGACATCATCATCAACAGCCTTTACTAGTCCACTGCTGGACATAGGCCTCTCCTTAGAAAGGAGGTTTTGGCCTACTATACCACGCTGGCCAGACGAGTCGGTGTAGGGTTTGTTTCAAGTTTTCCTTCTCTTTGCAGTGCTGTTGTCGTGCGTAGTTTACTCCCTTAGTCGGTTCTTACGACACCCACGGGATGAATAGGGATGGTGACACCCTGTATTCTTAATCCCTCACCACGCGGTTCAGTGGTAGAATACTCGCCTGCCACTTGCACATTTATAGTAAAAGCATGGAAGTATGGATAGAAAAATACTTCCTGAATTTATCGTCGTCTCTTTCTAGTTGTTAAGTAGAAAGACGTCGCAACAAGCCCGTACATTCACACAGACAATACTCAAATCATGTATAGCAGTTGCGACGATAGGCATTGTAAACGTATCTTATATGAGGTATGTGGTAGAAAAATATTTATAACAAACAGTTTCATTTATATTCAAGCATGTTTTAGAAAGTGGAGCAGTTATCAACCCTGGGTAACGCATCAGCAGGATTTCTGGCTGCGTTTTTTTCCTCATTCACGCTGTGCCCCACGGAACTTATTAAATGTCAACTACAAGCAATGCGAGAGGTCAACGTGCAAAGCTCACAAACAGTACGGTGATTGTTATGGGTATTTAAATGTGGTATTTTGATTTTAAATAAGCGGTCTTGTAATAATGTTCGAATTGTCCTTCTTAAACTCACGAGCCATGCATTTAAATTAATGTAAGCAAGTATGCTTGTTTCAACTCAGTACTCTTAGTTGGACTTCGTATAGGCATAATAGTAAGTTAAGTATGGCCCTTTAAACTAGAATAACTTATTATTTTAATGGACAAAGAAATAGTATAAAATTAGAGAATTATATTCATTAATGCTGTTTACTGGATGCCCCAAAAGTGTATGATAATAAAAACTCAATACCTAATTGTATATGTATAATAAGGTACAATAAAGGAATTCACATACATACTGGCAAACTTTTAAATGGTCAAGCATAATTTCGGCAAACTGCATGGCACTCTGAAGTACGTTCCTTTCCTGTGAAACGCGCCGTAGCGACTCTATTTCCAAGTAATAGATTAGTGGTCGATCCAAGGCTTCGCCCATCACTTTTGCAGTAGTTAAATTAATTAAAAAAGACAAAGTTATAAAGGGTCTTAGTCGTTACGCTCGGGAGCGCAACTTTGTATGTTTACGACAGATGGTTAAGACAGCGTACATAAAACCGATAACTGTACTTAGAGTGATCGTTTTAAATACACATGATTTTAAGTAAACAGTGTAGTTACAGTGTTCTTACTTAAAATAGTGTGTATCTAAAATATATGACAAGTACGCAATTTTACCTATCACTTATCAGCCTATGTTTGTATATGTTATTATATAGTTAATTGCGTTGTTATCTTGTTATACTCATATCTATCTTTTCTTGTGACCGTGGAACTAATTCAATATAACAATAAATATATTTACATTGGCGCTCTCTTTTCAGGTTAAAATAACGCCCTTGCAGTTAACTCAGCAAATATTTAGACAATACGGAATTCAGGGTCTCTTTCGTGGACTTGTGCCTACTATTATGAGAGAAATGCCTGGGTACTTTTTCTTTTTTGGTGGATACGAAGGTTTGTATGCATGTTTAGTTCATTAGATACCTGAGTACGGGAAAAGTGAAGTAGTTCCTAAGTACGCTTGCGTGGTAAAGCAACTTTTCGCTTTAACCTACCTAGGACCTATCGTTGAGAGGAACCGCTGATCAAGCTTCCAAGACGAGGGTTGATTGGGGAATAACTTTTTTAGCGGAGCAGGAATTAAATTCCTGCTAATGGTGGCGATCACAGTAACGGCGAGGCAGGGGGGTGCGAAAAATTTCGGGGCTAACAGAGGGCCACAACCGACTGACCCTGGCTACAAATATGATATGGCGGACGCTCGCTATAACTACTAACTACTACGCTCGCAACGGAGTAAGCTGGGCTTAGGAGCGGATATGGCACCATAGACCGCATCCACACAATGCGGGAGATTATACACAAGACCAAAGAAAGTAATCAGCTCCATTGCCTAGCATTCGTGGACTATGAGAAGGCCTGTCACTCGATCGAAATTCGGTCTGTTCTGGAGTCCCTGTAGCGTTGAAAAGTAGATTAGCGATACATCCAAGTGATGAGATGTCTCTACTAAGTCCATGTCCGTCCAAGTACAGAATCAGCCAACAAGGCATATACCGTTGCATCGAGGAGTGAGACAAGGGGACGTAATTTCCCCGATATTGTTCACAAATGCAGCGGAGGACATGTTAAAAACGCTGCACTGGAAATGGAAAGGGCGTGGCATCAATATCAATGGCGAATACGCTGTAGGACCTACAACAGATGCTGAATGACCTACGCATCGGCCTACGGATGAACTTGGATAAAACCGAGGTCATGTTTAATGAATATGTTCTACGGGAACCGATTGCTGTACACGGTGCAGTTCTTGAAGTTGTTAAAAAATATGTATACCTCGGGCAGCCACTTGCGGTACGGCTGAGAACGGCCTTACGGCTCGCATCAGAAATGAGGTGATCAGGCAGAGAAGCAAAGTCATCGATATAGGCAGCCAGGATTAGCGAGCAAAAGAGGCAGTGGGCTCTCCATATTAGCCTCAGAACCGACAACCGTTGGGGCAAACCAGTCCTTGAGTGGAGACCGTATCTAGGCAAACGTAGTGTAGGACGCCCACTGGTCAGCTGGAGCGACGATCTGCGCAAGATGGCTGACATTAAGCACTTTTGAGTTATGCTAGTAGGTACTGCTATTTATATATTTTCTGAAATTTGTTTTTCAGGTGCTAGAGAACTACTAAAGAAGCCGGGACAGTCAAAAGATGACATAGGTTTTGTCAGAACTATGATTGCGGGTGCAGTTGGAGGTCTCGTCCTTTGGACGGTGATATTTCCGTCCGACGTGATAAAGTCTCGGGTACAAATATCCAACAAGAGCCAAAAGTTCCTTACGGTTGGATATGAAATAATTCAGAAAGAAGGTTTGTTATCCATTTTAACGATTAAGGATTAATTACGATACAAGTTTTTGTCTTTGATACATTAATCTAAGTTAATTTTAACAAAGTAGGTTTGAATAGCCCCAGAGTTGATCGGTCGCGTAATAATCTAAATCCAAAAGAGTAATAATGACTGCACGGATGGCGTAGTTCTACCGCCGCTTCCTACTACGCCGAGTGTTGTGGGTTCAAACCCCACATAGGTATCACCCCCAACGACACTTTGTGTGATCCACAAATTGTTGTTCTGAGTCTGGGTGTTTGTGTCCGTTTAATGTATGTTTGTAAAGTCCCCCGCGACACAGGATATATTCCTAATGTAGGAGTTGTCTTTAAAAAAAAATTGAAGTTTAGAAAAAATTAATTAGTATTTTGTACTGACTCGAAATTCAGTTTCCAAAACCTATATTTACTTAAATTGTGTTTAGTAAGTGAAATTGTACTTCGATGATTGATTACGTACTTTAAATAAAGACTATATTTTATATGTTCCGAGTTGTAAAAATATCAGAGACAAAAATCATTAATATGTCATCATGTTGACCTATAACATGGGACAAGATAACCGAACAATGGGTTCACTTATCATTTATAATTCCTTAACTAATGTTATTGATTTGATTGGAGATTTTGTTTAAAATGTGTTCGATTAACCCAAATTCACTATCATTAACTAGTTATACACGGCGTTCCTAGGGTTACATTTATTTTCAAAGAGAAGTGCGTTAAAATAATTGCGAATGCGAGAAAACTAGGTTAAGTTTACTTCTAGATAACGAGAATGTATAGTTTTAATGCAATCCGGTAAACGGTGTGTGTACAGTCCGTGTTGACAAGGAACTAACGTACATTCGTTTCCATAAAGGAGATCAAAGGTCAAAATGTTGTAATTATGATAACCTTTGCGTTCCGTCTATGGTAACACTGTATTGAGTATACCGAAGCAAGAGAGAGAGAAAGATGCTACAGGCACAACAAATATCCTTGTTTATATTTTTTTTATATGTTCATTGGTTAATTCATCATCATCATCATCATCAGCAGCCTTTAATAGTCCACTATAGGATATAGGAATCTCCTTCTAAAGCAGGTTTTGGCCTACTATACCAAGCTAGCCAGACAGGATGGTATAGGGTTCGTTTCAAGCTTTCTTTCCCTTTGCACTGCTGTTGTCCTGCGTAGATTTCTCCCGTAGCCGGCTCTTACGAAACCCACGGGATGAATAGGGATGGTGACACCCTGTATTCTTAATCCGTCACCACAAGGAGTCATTAGTTGGTTAATTAGTGTCTCCAAATAATATTATATGTTTCCAGGTGTTCTAGCATTGTACAACGGGCTCAAACCAACTTTGGTGAGGACTATCCCAGCGACTGCGGCCCTTTTCGTTGTTTACGAATATTCTAAGAAGTGGATGCATGAATCATTTGGAGACTAACGATGAAATACAAAGTGATATCTATAGTGAAATATTTTTGATGACTATTACTAGTTTGTAAGCATCAAGATGCTAGAATATTGTCATACAATTATTGTTAAATTATACAAATATAGTTATTAAAACAATGGTTCTTGATGTGTATTAATTTTTAAGTAATCACAGCTAAACTAACCAGGTTATCATCATTTTAATATAATATAATATTGTGTTGTGAATCAGAAGAGTATGTTCCGTGAAATAACTTAAGACAATCGATCAATCGTGAGAAAAAAGATACAAGTTTATTACGATCTCATAGTTGGGTATAAGTTTTATAGGATTTACAACATCATTATAATAAGAGCCAATTTTAAATTTAGAAGAAGAATACATGAAAACTTGCAGGATTCAAAAATTATCGTTAGCTCAGCGTAATGCCACTTCGAGGAAGTAGCGTTGGTATTCTGCTAAAACTTATTACTTACTTACTTAGGCCAAATTTTATATAAAATATTTGTAAACAAAAGATATGACAACATAACATAAATGACTGCATTTAGAATACCGTAATATTGTATTCAAGTTTGTTTGTGTTGGGGCTGTTAATAAGTTTTCCCAGCATTTAATGTTGAAGTTTGTTTACAGTTAAAGTTAGGTAAAAATTACCAATGTTGTTATGAGCGTTTATTGAACACTTAAAATCAATGTATAAATTAAAACCTTATAAACTACGATTTCGTAGATCAGTATGAGGTCGTATAGTTTGATTGTTATACATTTCCATTTTACTGTCATTGCATTTGTGGACTCAGTTTAAACACCAAATATGTAAAAAAATCCTTTACCAACTACGGGAGGACCATTCCTTCGACCGGAGAACGGCCTCACAGGAACGGGTGTTTAGCTGTTCTCTTGCATTTCACTGAGTGGGGTGGGGCGCTCACTCAAAGGCCGACAGTAGTCACTCACTATCATGTTTGTTTGCCATGCAATGCCATGAGTTTGTTTGCCCTTCTCATAACGCTCAACCCCCTTGAAACGGGCGGTGTAGATCGGCACATGCATATCATAGATTTTGTATAAGTTTAATTTTTATCAAATTTATTTTGCTCACTGTGTGACAAATCAGAGATTGTTGCTGTTGTGTGTGTTGATCTATGACTTTAGGAGTCTACATAAAAGACGATTTCAAACAATTTTTAAGTATAAAATAGTTATTTGGAGTTTGAGTTTAATCATTTATATATTGTTCGTAAAAGTGAAAAGCAATGTAAATATGGCAAAGTTAATGGTATGCAATTACATGGGATACGTTACAAGATATTGTGGCGTCTAGATTTGTATAATACAAAATAAAAATCTGTAACGAAACTTCTTCATCAGACGCATTAATCACTGTCAATGATGAATCAAAAAGCTTTTTGTAGCTTTTTTATCTATTTCTATAAATATAAGAATCCTATCGTATTTATAGTAATAAATAGTATCGTAGGTCATTACAAATTATTAACATTGTTTTAGCGCCTCCAGTTAATCTAAATAATTGTATTTGGACTGAGTTCAGTTGGGGACCTGCAACCACTTGAGTCCAACTGTCCGACACCTCAGCCATTACTTTATCATCATCACCATCATCAGCCTATCGCTGCCACTGTTGAACATAGGCCTCTCTTGTTGCACGCCACTTCGATAGAATTTCGGCTTGTTCTTCAGCTATTACTTAGCCTTACTTAAGTCTACATTATATCCAGCACTGTTAGTTTGACTTTTTATGTTATGTTTTGAGTATACACCGTGTTGTCTCATTTGCTCGTAGTAAAGAAACATCATCTTTAATTAAAAAAATATAAAAAGGTATAGAGAAAATCATATCCAGACTTAACTGTTCGCAGTTTTCGCAGCCTGCTCCCAGGTGGCTATTCTGAGTAAAGAAAATTTTGGTTCTCTCGGCCGGTTCGTTCTCTGATTGGTTTCTGTACGTGGATTGTTCACATATATCCAAACCAGGAACTCTGGAACCAAAGTACCAAACTTACGGCATTTAGTGAGTGTAGTGCTCTGATCTGTATCTATAAAAGAAGAAACTAACAGACTGTTTCACTGACTGATCGATCAACGCATGGTTGAAACCGCTGGGTCTAGAAGCATGAAATTTTGTAAAAATGTTCCTTAGGTGACGCAGGTGTGCACTAAGAAAGGATTTAAAAAATCCATTCCTAAGGGTGCAAAATGGGATCGGTAATTTATTGAATCTTCTTTGTTTTTGTAGTAGCGTTTTCAAACTTACAGTAAATAGTCTTTATTAAAAGTGAAAAAAAACGTTGCTTCATTTTTTTTAAAACTACCCTTAAACTTTGTGTGTGGCTTTCTTTATTTTTAACTTACCTATTCCAGTCTCAGTATAATTATATTCTCTATCAAAAATAATAATAATTAGACACCGTTACTAGGTTTATTACTCAATAGTGACAGAACGGCTGTCTGGATCTAGACGAGATTTGGCACATAGATACATTATAGTCTAGAATGACACAGAGGCTACTATTTATCCCGGCCAAATTTATTGACAAAATTGACATTTGCGCGAGCGAAGCCGTCCGCAAAAGCTAGTAAGTATATAAAAACCATTGTAAACTCTTTTCTAAAACTTATAAAAACGAATGTTGTATTGACAGATCTCAAGGAGAAAATATTTTGCAGTCACGGTCAACATTTAGATCACATTTTTTTTGAGAATATAACATTAATGTCATCAGACGACTATCAAGTCCAAAATATATATAGGTATTCGAGAAGATCGTACAAAAAGAATAGAAGAGAATCAAACGACGATGATGATATGAGTCCATGTGAGTCTATCAACATAGGTACGCCGGAAGTGTCGCCGAGAAGTGATGTTGCTGCTGCCAACTCGCCAGGGTGCAGGTGTGATTTAGACCCTGAAGTCGAGATCGCCAATATACTCCATAAAAAATGTCCAGTAATTACATTAGCTCAACAGCAGTTACAAAGGCTTCTGGAGGAAACAGATAAAATACTGTGTGACAACACAAGATGTTGCAGGTTCAATCATTTTTAGTATTGAATACTTACATATTAATTTATTGTGGCTATTATTTTATGACCAGTTAACGTTTTCCTTGTGTGGTAAAAAGGGTTTCTTGGTTACGTTTAGCACAAGCCCGTCAAGGAGTCAGGTTGGCGGTCGATTGGTTATTCAATATCGAAATTGGCCACCTGGGTTCCCGGTCCCCAAAACTAGTGGCCAGTGGATTTACTTTTACTTGGTGTTTATCAGCATCTGTTGTACTAGAAAAGCATTTGAGTTTTTCAAATCTTGCAGAAATCTACCGCAGTTTATAATATACCTAACACTCTTGTTACAGATCAGTATATGATTTTCTGTGCTTATGTCAAACATTCCTGAGCCAAGACAAGTGTCGCTGTATCTTAATATTTTTTATTTGTTCATCATTTCTCACGGGCCTTTTATTTGGAGCTGCATCATGTGGATCTTACCTCGGACGATTTAACAGCCCCATTCTCGCTTGTGTCGACAATTTTTTTATGACTAGTACATATTCTAGTATAGAGGACTCGTATCGAGCCATAGTATGAAGACTAAACAAAACTACTGAACTAATTAAGGTGGTTTAAGCTACTAGACGTTTTGTTTTCAACGTTAATATTTTAGATAGAAAATATAGCTAATTGTTACAATGCAGCAATCTTTTTTATTTTTACGTGGTTTGGTACGTTTTGTATTGTATAATGGCCTGGTTAAAACCATGCCATAATAAAGAAACACTTAAAAAGCTAAACACAAGTCTACTAAAAAGTAACAAATGATTCAAAGTAGATCTAGTAAAATTATTTTTCACTGTTTAGTAATGTTGTGTTTTTTAAGTCGGTCCAACGTTTGTGTCGATGTTTTCTTGTGGGTTTTATAGCACGGTATTTAAAACGTTAGACTGCAATGGTGCAATGTAGGCTGCAATGGCCTACCTATCTACCGAACTACAGTACCTACAATTTATTATATTAATTCTAATAAGCCCGATACTTTATTCCGCGAGGTCCGTGGCTAAGTAGTAACCAATTAGGTTGGCACCAAAGGTAAGCAATCTTAGTCACTTCAGCCTATGGATCAGTGACCATTTTTAACACAATGAGTCCCTTCAGTGCCTCGTAGAGCACGTTAAGCCGTGTCGGTCCCGGTTGCCATACGAACATCTGTGGCAATCGTTATGGGTAATTGGAGCCCTGAAAATTCCTATAACACCCTATCTCCCTACAAAACTTTGATATTATCACTTAACACTTCGATAGTGGAGGTCTGATGACAGTCGCTCCACGTAAAGAACCCGGAGTTCAGCCGTGTAGACTAAAAACCGACCCGAGCCTCGTTTGGGAAAAAGCACGGCGGATGATGATTTTACTTCGATAAGATAGATAGATATTTTGATTTTGTCTAGCAACTTACTGCACTTAGTCAATAAGTTAGTGCTAATAATAATGATAAGTGCGAGTCTGACTCGTAACAGAGGGTTTTGAACAGACTTGAATGTAGACAAATGTAACGTAGGTAAATCGATTCTCAAGTCAGACAGACTTGAGAATCGATTTACCTACGTTACATTTGTTTTCGAAAGACACTGAATTTCACTATTCAAAGAAATACTTATATGTCGATTGAAATACCTACCTGTACCTGTACCTTCAGGTGTTAGATTTTCATGTGAAACTTTTTTCATATGATACCTATGTGGTTCTTCTTGTCAAAAATGTGCAACATTAGATTTTCGACTTTCAACTGTTTTTTTTTATTCAGCTTAGACGTGAAAGATGGATACTTCAAAAAACCGAGTCATTTTTGAATATGAGTTCCGACGCGGAAGTAATGCGGCAGACGAGACGGGAGAATATCATGGTTTAACGTTACCCTACCTTCAATTTTGACTCATTTGCATCAAATCAGTCATCCACATCTTCATTAAAGATAAATCCTTATCTCTGGGAATGGTTTGTCGTGCCGCCATAACAAATCACGACATTTGTCTACTACCTAATGATTCACTGGTCATGGTCACTAACCATGACCAGTGAATCATTAGGTAGTTTTAAATTACCACGCCGCACCACATTAAAAACTAATAAAATTGGAATTATTAATGATCTGAAATCAGTAGATTGGGCAAAATTCTATAACGTTGTTGATCCCGAAGCAGCTGCAAGTGAATTTGATAAAATCCTTAAAACATCCATGCACAAGAACTCCAGAACCATTGTTATTAATCGTTCCCAGCGCTCTATGAAACCCTGGATAACGCCTGGATTAACCCATTAGAAGTCACTGTACTCAATTGAGTACAACCATTTCTTTTGAATTTCAATTCAACACTTGTAAAATTAAAGGGGCCTACTTTGTTATTTTATTTTATTATAATACTGTTCACGTATATTGAAAAGTATTACGCTGGTAGTGTGATTATTTTTGCCAAAAAGTGTCAGTTGAAGTAGTGTCACCGAAACACTGGGGAGGTAAGTAAATGATATGAGATTTTTTAAAGTTATTTCTGTTTATAAGTTATTTTTTTTATTTCATTAGTATAAAATAAATGTCAGAGTAAGTTAAAATAAACAATACAATCAATGATTCATTACTAAAATAAAACTACAGTCATATAATATTGCTGTACTCGACCCCTGAAATTTTATGAAATGTAATTTTTTTCCATTTTTTTATTTCGTTTTGTGTTTCTGTGTACTTATTTGAATATAAAAATAAAGATAAATTAAAAATAAACATCGGTACTTTTCATTTGACCTTTAATGGGTTAATGAGATGCCAGACACGACACAAGACAAACTCCATCTTGAAAGCAAGAAAAAACCCAAGGACGTCATTTGTCAAATCACATACAAAAGATATCGTAATTTCCTCACTAATCTACAAAAACGTTAATCCTTAAAACCAATTACGAGACCCAATTATTAAAGAGTAACATTGAGTCCGGCAATTCAAAAAAACTATGGAAATCAATTAAGCAGATCTGTAACATGTCAAAAAACCATTCAACACCTATAGAACTAACAAAAAACCATCCCGATCCCGTGACGTCGCTTAATATTTGCAATCAACATTTTTCAAACATTGGGAGAAAACTAGTTGATCACGTGCTCGATAAGCTAAACGTTTCGGCAACCTCTCTTGCTTCGGACTACACTTCTTCAAATGCACCAACTAAAGGCAGTTCCTTTTTCTTGCAACCAACAGACCCTTATGAAGTCTCTAAACTTATTGACAACCTTAAAAACGACAAGTCTCCGGGCCTAGACGCTTTCTCTACTAGCTTGATAAAAGTAATTAAAAAATATATCACTGGCCCACTAACACACATTTTCAATCTCAGCCTGAGCTCAGGTGTTTTTCCTCAGTGCTGGAAAACTGCGGTAGTCTTTCCTATTTATAAGGAAGGCGACAAGTCAGCTCCTAATAACTGTAGACCGATTTCCCTCTTAAGCATATTTTCTAAACACCTGGAAAAAATTGTAAATAAAAGATTAGTTGACTTTCTCGAAAACAACAGACTACATTCCGAAAAATAATTTGGCTTTAAACAAAAAAAATCCACAGAAGATGCTGTAGTATGTAACAGTTATTTTTTTTAGTATATTTGTAATGCGTATGGCCTTGTTAAAAGCGACACCTATTGGCCGCGTCGCATTGTTGTTGATTTATCTAAAGTAGTTTATAACTACAGTATTGATCTTCTGCGTTCACTGTCGGACCACTAGATGGCGTTTTGTTTGTGGATAAGTCAGTATTGATTTGTCGTGACAAATCGTATTGGTATTGAGAGTGTTTTGTTATGGTAGAAAGCGAGTTACTTTTGATTTTGGTCGTGTTAACCTCGTCGGTAATTTAAATGTCAAAGTAAAATGTTGAGTAGGGTTAATTTCTGGAAGCTTCGGGAACCGAAGATATATAAGCCCGGCTTTCAGCCACGGGAGACACTCTGCTATCTCGTGTCTTCCAATCTTAAATAGTGTTTTGATTGTTGTGTGATTTGATTTTCGTAATATATTATCTGTTCAAAAGTACCCACTAGAGTGGTGAGTATGGTCTTAATTTTTTTTTTACCTATTTGTTTCTGGAACCTGATTAATTATATGAGTGCTAATCCATTCGTAGGGTCCCAGATTTCGGGGTCAAGACGGTCAGTCTCAGACGGCGTGCTTGCTCGTTTGTGGCCTTCTGGTTCAGACTCAAGTTTCTCGATACCCTCTGGCAAGCTGGTGATTGCGCGGCTCACGACGCAAGCGGACAGCCGTACCCAAGGGTTACGTACTTACTTATAAACTTATAAATGCTAATTGTTGAACTTTTATCAATATCTAATATAAATAGCCGACTCGGGCGGAAGAGGAAGTAACCTCCTGGAGTGAAGACGAGGAGGCACCGAGCACCATCAGCTCGGCTCTGACGCGCTCCGCTGCGGTTTTTCTTATACCCTCTGTTTTTTTTTAATTGTAACCTTAATTTTGTTTTTTTTAAATATACATGTATGTATGACTGAGGTGTAAGTTGTTTTTCTCTAAGGAGTCCCATAGGTATCCCACACGCACACACTTCTGTTTAATAAAAGGCGTCCTGAGGTAATCTTGTGAATCTCTCCACTGGGTCAGCCGGTGAGTAGTCCGCCTGATAAGAAAAGCGGCTACAAGTATCTCTGGCCAACACGGTGTCCAAACCTCTGAACAACAAAGAATGCTGATTAGGAGTTTTCCTTGACTTGTCGAAGGCATTCGACACCGTGTCCGTTCCTATCTTACTTCGTAAGTTGGAGGCTGTGGGTATACGAGGTATTACACATGACTGGTTCCGCAGTTATCTGACAAATCATCATCAGTGCGTTAGGGTGGGATCTGCAATTAGAGACCGGTGCCGCATCGAGTTTGGTGTTCCCCAGGGGAGCATTTTGGGTCCCACACTTTTCTGCATTTATATGAATGATATTCTAAATATATCAATGACAAACGCGGAAGTTATGTGTTACGCAGATGACAATGTGATAATCTTTCGCAATATATCGTGGTCAAGTGCAATAGCAACTGCTGAACATGGCATGACTCTCATTGCAAAATCGCTAGACAAAAATCTGCTCAACCTTAATTTAAAAAAGACCAATTTCATCGCGTTCCACAAGACACTTGCATAAAAACTCTCGACAGGACACACTTTGAAAATTCATTCCTGTAGTTCTGGTGACCGAGTAAAATGTAGCTGCGGCACCATAGAACGCACAGACTCTATTCGATATCTAGGAGTCATATTGGATGAACGTCTAACCTACGGCAAACATATAATTCACTTGTCAGGTAGAATTACAAAATTTACATTTTACATCTTAAAATCCCTACGCAACAGCCTAGACAAAAATAATCTCATAATAGTTTACAAAACACTAGTACAACCGCTATTTTTTTACTGCATCATGGCATGGGATGGTGCTGCTAAGACTAAAATGTTACAACTCGAAAGAGCTCAACGAGCAATTTTAAAAGTAATGCTACGTAAACCCTTCAGGTTCCCAACAAACGACCTGTACAATGAA